GCCCATTATCTATGTACTTATTTTTAATGTGATTAGGCACTATCCATCGAAGCATCTTGCGTTGTAATGTGTAAATTTCCTGTATGTACGTTACATAAGTTCTACCATAACTGCCAAGTCCATAACTAATGACGGAATCTGCTAGAGCCATATAAAGTAATCTAAGTATTTTATATGGTAGCTTAAATTTTAAAACATAAAGTTTACTCAACACAGAGCGAAGTTTTGCACACACGTGATCTTTATGCGCTCTCCAGCAGAATCGTTCATCAATAATCAGACCAACATACATGTGATTTTTGACATTTTCAATGGTTTGACAATTACAGTGTCGAAGTATACCGTGGAGACATTCATGGCTGTGGGAAATGACAATCGGTGCGGTGGCAACTTTGTTGTGAGATGAGTGTATGTGAACAAGTTTTGTTTTTTGAGCGTTAACTACTACGCCCACATCATGTGCCCACTTACATAGCATGTCGTAACTTTCCTGCATTTCAGTTTGTGCTACATCCATACTACGATCGGCAATGACGATACAAGTGTCGTCGGCAAATTGATATGTGGAGCCCTTAGTTATTGCATTTACCATATCGTTAACAAATAGCAAGTACTCAGTCGGACCCAGTATCGAACCTTGTGCTGTGCCGCGTTTAGTCGCAAACATATCACCTGTCCGGTTATATATTTTGACAGTGGTATAACGATTTTGATGATAACTCTTAAGAAGTTCTAAGAACGGTCCTTGAATACCGCAACGTGATAGCTTATTATATAATTGTTAAAATTTAATAAATCGAACGCTTTACTAAAATCAATAAATAATACTAAAATATGCATTTTATTATCTAAATATTTCATCAGTAAATTGCCGTAATAATTGCGTTGTGCTTTTATTTTTTTTTGAAAACCGAACTGTTTTGAATTTATTATATTGGACTTAATAGTTTAATTCATTGCTCAAATAACGTTCAATTTTTTTATTTAGACAGGAGAGAATAGTTATAGGACGATAATTGTTAGTCATTATGTTTGCCTTTTTTGTAGATTGGTCGGATTACACCTATTTTTAGTAAGTCCGGATAAATAGACGTTTTTAGACATTGATTAATTATGTAATAAGAGGCACCATTGATTTCGAATTGTATTTTATATCACAAACGCCAACACCATCAAACCCGGGGCTTTTCTTATCATTCATTGTTTTAATAATTTTGGTAACATCAGCATCCTTAGCTTATTTTATTTTTACGGTTCTATCTGGATTAGTTTCATAGGAACGGGGATCTAAGAGTGGCTTATTACAGTTTAAGCATATTTTTTAAACATTTTTATCAAATTCTAAGCCAAATTTATTTGCTAATGTTTTAGAATCAATATTAAATGTTTTTTGTAATATATCATCAATACGACGTATTATTTTACCAGTTAAATTATTTATTAATTGCCAAAGTTTTATTGGATTTCTAAAATTTTCGCAAATTTCTTTTTTGGTATTTTGATTTCGTAAAAATTGAGCATATTTATTCGTTTTATTTCTATATTTATTGTAATTTAATCTTTTTAATGAATTATTGTCATCTTTCCGCCAGATTTTAAATAATTCATATTTTTTATATAGATTTAATATAATTTAATTAATTGATGTAATTTAATTAATATATTTAGATTTTAAATAATTAATGGATTGGAATTGCGTACTACATAAAACAAAGAAATTTAGCGCTTATTCCGCTCTTATATGTCTCTTTTATATATATCATTATATTCTTGTTTTCAAATAAAACACACATCAAATTTATATTATTTTAATGTAATTATAAGTATAAGGAATACAAATTTTATTATATACACAACCCATATATGCTGAATATTTATAATACTTACTTTAAAGTGCGTTTTGTGTGCAAATTAAACGTAATTTTATTATACTGTCTTTTTCTATTTAAAGAATGACGCGGGTACCTTTTGTTTTTAAATGGTTGCATAAAATAAGGTAACATTAGCGCCGGATTATAATTTTATATAATATAAGTAAAACTATTTATAACATTAAAGTTACTTTGCAGCATAATAGTTTACTCTGATAATAAAAGAAAAAAAATCAATTTTAACAATAATAATCATTTTAGATAACAGACTTTTAAATATAAATTAATTTAAATAAACGTAATCGAATTCAAAACAGAATACACTAACTTTCCTTCCAATTGCTAACTTTTTCTGTGACTCTGTTAGCTGACTAATAGCGGAAAATCTACTCAAATATGCTGAAACTAAATATTACGGTCCGGTGATGGTGGTCAGTATTACTATAGTGAAGGTAGCTTCTACCTTCACTCTAGTAATATTTGAAATACCTTAGATTTTAATATATTATTAAGGAGAAGAGTAGAAATCTTTAAATATGACTATTATAACGCAATTTTTCGATATATCTTTTGCAATACATACTAACAAATAACTGTAGTACCTAACTGCTTAATAGTTTTCAATAATAATAATATTTCTTAACCTATCGTATATAATACAAAATTAACAATATCTTAATGTAATTTTCCAGATAACGTTAAATATGTTTATGATGGATGACGTTTCTCGATGATGATAAATATCCTAGCAATGTTTATTTTTTGTTAAATACGAAATTAGTATAGAGTAAACAGTCCTATTATCTAACAATATAATTATAAACAACAAAAGAAAAATTATCATAATAACAAAAAGAGTACGTGTACGATTCCGTCTGCCGTTTAATAGAACTCCAAAATCGGTTACCATAATAACGTAATCAAGAGTATTCATTACGACATCAAGCGTCGAATATGTTTTGGAGACTATCATCGTTCTTTCAATTCGAGTTATGCTACACAAAAAAATCACTAGCGTACGAACGTAAAACCATTTAGAAACAGACTCTATAAACTTAGAAACAGAAATATGTTAAAAATTGTTTTCAAATATGAGACCAATTACAATGCAAGTGCAGTTGAAGCAATAATAAGGCAATTCTTTGATACTCATCTATTGACATTATTCGTTTGTTTTTGAGATTATTACGAATGATCTTCATTTAATCTAGTTAAATCTTCGTAATAGGTATATTATGTAAATTAAAATTAAACAACAAAATGTTTTCTTATTTATAGGTAGTAACTATAATACTGCAGAAGTTTGAAAGAAGTAAACTTAACTACCATTGGACGGATACTGATTACTGCTTTGGTTCTCCCTTTAAACATAACATTCTTAAAATTAAACGTTAACTTAAAAACTTAGTATAAAAATAAATATAACAAATAAAATAATACTTATAGAAATACTAATTTTATTTTTATTTATTTAAAGGAGAAATACTAATGTTATTTGACAGTCAATAAATTAAAAAAAATGGTTTGTATTCGGGATTATGAGATTAAGGTCATTATAATATTAAGAAGATATTTAACTAAGACGTCACAAACCAAACTTATAACATAGGTTAGTTAATTACGGTGGTCTATTTCGTATCTTCGATTACACCTCTAGAATATCTATAATTTTGTTAAATAAATTTTGACGGAATGTCTAAGTAATAGGATTAATTTACAGCGATATCTATAATGTTCGATTATTATATTTAATAACTGTCTCGTTCTCCGTTAATGTAAGTTTTATATTATATGAAATGTATGTAAAAAGACATTATATTATGCTATATGTTACTTCTAAAAGCCGAAGCTTTTTTAATAGAAAAAGGGTGGCAAACGAGTACGCAGTCCACCTGATGGTAAGTGGATGCTGTGGCTCATAGACATCTACATTATTTATCCTCGATTAAGAATCAAAAAACAGATGCGTTGTCACCCCGGAGGACTCCGGATCTCTACATTCACCATAAGAAACACGGAAGTATTAAGATGCTATTATATGTGGTTACATTTACATCTACATCTATTTATATGTGGTTACATTTACATCTATTTATATGTTTACATTTACATCTATTTATATGTGGTTACATTTACATCTAGGTTTAGCCGGTTACAGTGCTGCGATTGCGGTTAGTTAAACTTAGATGTTACCTACATTACGATAGATAGATAGATAGATAGAAAATTCTTTATTGAACTCAAACAAAACAATTTGGTACAAAGGCGAACTTAATGCCGAAAAGGCATTCTCTGCCAGCTTGTGTGTTGAATTCGTCAAAAATACGAAACCACGAATCAAGTGATTTCAGCGGTGCGACTGGGATGGCCTTTGGTCACCCCAGAAGCCGCAAACATTTATTTAATTTATAAATTACATAGGATACACCCAATTTTTAATCAACTGCAATCGGCCGCACCCATAATTTTTTTGCTGGCTAAATCTATTTGTAGTTGTGTTAGGCTTTAAACAAATTAATTATACGGTACCATGAAACTTAAAACGAGCCGTAAGTTGTAAAATAATTTTATTTTACAAATGAGGTTTTATGCGCTTAAAACTGTAAGGGAAAACGAAACGTTTTCTAAATATAGCAACGGGCAAAAATGGTTAAAAAGTAAGCTTTTACTTATGAATATTATATTTGTATGTTAAGTTAAATTTACACATTAATATTAACAAAGATTATCTCTAATGTTGCAATATATTCACTATGAATGTGGTTTTTAATCTTATTTTAATAATTAATATGTTCGTATCGTAAATATAATATCTGTTTTTTAAGAAATACTTGCACTTCCTCGGCCAAAAGATTTAATAAAAAGATGTTAATTTAGCTGCTGTATCGGACAATGGACAAACTATAATAATAAACATTTTAGCTACGCAAGAGGACAACAGTTTTTAAACGCTATACACAAAACTTACGTTTAATGCTTAAATCTAAATTACGTTTATACCTACAATAATTTAATTAAAATTCTCGAATAATTGCCTATTACTTTGGGGTAAATAAAAGTGATATATAAATTAAATAATCTGTTACACTATCTTTGATTTCGTACGTAAAGTTAAAAAAAGATCTATAATTAATAGTCTGCTTCTTTTCTAAAAGTGAAAAAGGCATGAATGAGGAAAATGGCGGCGTTCAAAACAGAGAAAACGCCAGAAGAGATGAGCAGGTTGTAGGCTTCTTTGTTTGGGCGGAGATTAGCGTAGTAGGACTTGTGCCAGTCTGTAAATAAATGAGAAAAATTAAAAATAAATGTATACTATATCTCATATTAGATACAGGGTTAAAATATATAATAAATCTATGTCTTTTTTTAAAAACGTTACCTCCACACTAGGATTTTCTCCTGTATCGGGGGGGGGGGGCAATATACATACATAAACTTCACAAGGACAACCATCCAGACCTGGAACAATTACTTGTAGACCATACAAATACTTGTCCCGAGCGGGATTCGAACCCGCGGCCCTTAGCGCTGCAATTCATTGCTAAACCCCTGCGCCACGGAGCCGTCAAATAATCTTCTCTTCTCATTCATCACTCCAAAGTCTGCTGCTGGACCTAGGTCTCCTTCGTTGCAGGAATGATTGACGATCGCAGTACGACATCTTTTTGTCGTCAAGTCACCTTTGACGCTTGCTGCACTTAGCCGGTCTGAATCTTACGTCTGGTGTAAACAAGCTGAGTTTTTCTGGCATTTCTCATAGCGCCTCTTACTACACCCGTAGGAAATAAACATGAAATATATTTATTTCTTCGACATTAAAATTAAGGTATTGACCGCCATTTTTCTTTCAAAACTGACCGATGAAAAAACGGCAAAGAATATCCGCAGGTATCCTCTTTTGGTCGTTTTTTTTTTAAATTATAATATTACAATAACATGGTAGAGCCGCCGATTTTCAAGAGGAAATGCGGGCCGAAATACTTTTGAAAATTAAGTATTTGACGAAATTATCGCTGACGCTCTGCGCGAGTGCGATAAAGACAATTAAGCCGACTAAATAGCCTAAGTAAAAAGGCATAATTCGAGGTTTGGATCTCTACCGTTTCCTCCCCCAATATTGGACCAATTTAAAAGATATTTCATAAACTGAATAAAAGGGATATACTCTGTGTACCAATGTTTTTCTTTTTTCAGTATTAGTTAGCAGATTTGAACAATAGGCCTTTGTTGACAGCGGTCTAAATAGGCAATTTTGAGCATTTTTTATTGCTTATAAAGATAATGTATCATCGAAGAGGAAAGCATAGGGACATATAAGAGGTTGATATTTATTTTAAAATCATTGCTATAAGGTAATAAACCAGAAAGAAAACAGGATGGAACGTTTGTACGGAGAAAAGTTTCCTCTTAAGTCCGCCCTTAGTAATTTTCTTGTTAGAACTGTACGAGGTACGAGTCCATTGCCAAAGGAAATAAAGATGAAAAATAGTCGTACACAGCCTACTCGTTTTTCACGCATGACTTGCATCAATCATACATAGGTAACGTAATATTTAAACAGTGAATTCCACTCATCCTTGCAATAACCGGTTATCGTATGTTCCTAATACACTTGTGTAATAACTATCCGATATTTTATCGTTATTTACAGCCGGTTCTAATTAGATCAAATTACCTAATATAAAAAAAAATAACTAGTTACTTCTTTTAATTTGTATTAATTGAGACACTAGTTCTGCCACGATCTATGAGTTTCCTTGAAAGGAAATTGTTTGTAAACGTATAATTTAAAAAAAAAACTTAATATCTAAAATTCAAGATTATTTCATGTATAGAAAAAATTACTTTAAGGTTCTATAAGTCTATAGCAGACCGGAGTTTAGAATTCAAAGAACGTAGAGTGTAAAGGTTTATGTTAAGCAAGTGCGCTTTACCATCTTCGGGCTACGTCACCACCATTTACCATTACCGTCAGGTGGGATTGTAACTAAGCGTTGTCTTAGAAAAAAACCTAACTACTACGTCGATGGTCGTCTATGAAATCACCGCCGCAACGATGTATTATTTTTAATAAAAATGCAAAGTATTGGTTACTCGAGACATTGCAACACCCTGCCCATATCTGATTTTATCTTAACAATATATATTATATATATATATATATATATATATATATATATATATATATATATAACGTCTATTCGCAAAATATGAAACAAATTTTAACAACCCTGTGGTAACATAATCGGATTGTATTCACAACACGTGCTTAGTTCGCGCTCAGTTAAATATATCCAACATAAGCATATTATAGGAATATATCCATTAGAGTCTTGTGGCTGCTTGACTAGTTATTTGTATAATAACTGCTAATACGCGTATTAAGTTAAATAGGCCTTATATAATGTGTTTTACATACAGCACTAGCTTTATACGCCGAATTTTTAATGCACGTAACACAATATCTTCGTTGTGCGGTGTAGGAGAAGTCGAAGAAAGATCTCTTGCTATTTGATAGATGACGCTATAATATAAAGTTATAGAGATACAAAATTGCAGTAGAATGCGAGATTAACGAGCGAACACACATTCCACCTGATGGTAAGTGGTTACTGTGGCCCATAGACATCTATCCTTGATTACGAATCAAAATGCAGCAAAATGCGTTGTGACCTGTGCGGACTAAGATGGATTGCCTCGTTTTTAGTAAAAAGGTTCTCCAGTTCTCAACACTCACCGTAAGAAACATAACAGCATTATGCTGTTATTTTACTCTGGTATTCTGTGAGGGCGGTGGTCCTACCCCGGTCGAGCCAACCCATTCGTGATAGAACTATAATATAGCTACAGCATGGCTCTACCACGAATACAAGATCATTTAAAAAAAAATTGAATTACTAACCATAGAAAATAACTCCGGCCGCAGCTGCGAACATAATGACGCCCAGAACAGAGAAGCCGATTGATGTCCTCCAGCCGGCGGACTCGCCGAGCAGTCTCGCGATGACCAGCACACCGGTGATGATAATGAAGCCTGAATTGATTGTTTTTTTATTGTACTTTGTTTCATTATTTAATTTTTCGTTAACTTTTAAGTTACTAAGCTACATTTAGGCCTAATAACCGTAAATTAACTTGAATAGTGTTTTATAAAATTTTTATTATATTCATACGCCCGCGTCCCAGATCTCAAGAGGTTCAAGATTTAAAATATCACGACAAACTAGCGGGTTAAGGTTGTTTAAATGATTGTTTATATACCTAAATAATAATATAAGCAATGGAGAATATATACATTTTGTTATTAATATAAAATATCCACATTAATATAAAATAAAGCCGTCATCCTCATCATTTCGCCACACAAAGGAGTGTGATTGAGTTTGCTAACTCATACGATTCGGCCCGTTACAAACTGTGTTAATTAGAAATATCTACCTTTTTTCAACAAGTTTTTGTATCTGGAAGCACGTTTTATGGTCTAAATAACTTCTCAAAACGTTTACCTTTCGTAAACCGTTTAGGTTTCGTAAGACAGTTGGATCGCATAGTACCAACATGTATCAATCTATTTCTTTAGATTTCTATTGTTTCATATCGTTACACGGATGAAGGAAGTGTCGTTAATTGTCAATAGCCGGTTGTGTTTTACTTAGGTACTTTCACGTGCCGAGTTCGACGAAACCGATTTACCGGTAATTGTTGAAGTGAAACCGATTTTTAAATCGCCCTTACGTTAAATGTCAGTGAACCTCATAGTAGGGAAGGTATTTTTGCACATGAATACCGAAAACTGTTCATCTCCATTTTTGTTTGTGTTCAATTATTATGAGTATCTCATACAATATATATAAAATATATATATATATATATATATATATATATATATATATGTTTCCATGGGGAAATTGGATACTTGGAATTTCGTAACTACGCGTTATAATTTCAGTGGTGTTAGCAAGGACTGAATCTGTGCGAAAAAGCCGTGGTCTCTTTGTTCTTTGTCAATATATCCCATCAAATAATCCCATACTCCTAGGCCTCTTATTTAAATTGCTCCAAAGCATGGCTCTTCACCACCTGCATACATCGATTCCCTGCATGTTTTAGGTTGTCAATCCCTCTAGTAGAAGGTCCAGTAACACTGCGCTTGTTATAAGGCTGCATTTGAGAACCTTTTTTTGACATTTATTCTGTGCAATGTTTGGTAAATATTTCTATTTCGTTAAACTATAACGAGATTAGTGCGTTGCAACATTTGATAATAGGGCATTCGAGCGTGACGTGGCCAATCGACTTGTGACCATAATTGTTTGTGAATTAGACGATTGGAACATAATCTGTTGTGTCAATTGGGTCATGGTTTTTCTCAGTTGCGTGAATCCCGAAACAGTGTTGTTAATTGTTTCAGTTTCACAGCATGAAGTCAAAACTTGCTGTGTTTGAAACCCTTTTACTGGTCATGAAGCATACTATTTGTCAGGATTGTCAACGTATCTGCATTTTTATTCTTCGTCGACGATAGATTGTGGTGTATAAGAGCCACATTATTAAGGTATCATAAGATGGACTGTGTTCTCACTTGTCTCCCTTGTTTGTATAAAAAATTGCAACGTTATTTTTCTAAGGACTTATAAAACGATGTTTTGTCTGTCGCATAACTTTTGTCATCTCTTATGAGATCTAGGGCGACATGATGATTATAGGGTAGGTAATGGGAATCCACTACCACTTCATACATTGCCACCAAACGGCGTAACCTATGTAACGCTTAAACATTAAAGTCGAGGTACGGTTCCAACGCAATGTCAAGCCGGTATTACATATTGGCCAAGCCTCAGCCAACGCGTGCGTAACCAACTTGATACAAGGTGAGTGCTATAGTCTACATGTTGTCCAAGTCTGAACGAGTGATCATAGTGACGTGGCCAACTAACACGTTGACACGAATTGCAGAGTGCAGACGAACGCCTTTGATTTATGCAGAAAAGCCGTCACTGTTCCGAAGTGAGACAAGTCGTGGGCAAGGCACACCAAACGAACCGTATACATATACGGTTCGTTTGGTGTGCCTTGCCTGGTGTGTGTTGGCCTCGCCTCGCCTGCACTCAGCCAGGCCGGGCGAGCGATGACGAGCCATGGCGAGGCTAGACAAATGGGCTGCCTATCGCTTCTCTGTCGCTACTCGCCTTCGCTCAGCCAACATGCATAGCTGGCATAAGACATACGGAGACGAGTGAAACGTATTCAGACACGAGGTTAATACTCGTAAGTTTTTACTGTAAGGCGTACAAAGATTTTCTCTTGTATCGTATAGGCGTTTTACATATATAAATAGCACATTCGCAAACATCCATTCAAGTCTAAAACAATTATTTGTTTACCATACAAAGATTTTGATATTTGTGATAGATAGATTGGGATTAGAATTCACGGCTCCGCACCGCAGTCACACGCGTAGTCACTGCGCAACTAAGCCGTAAAATACGGCCTAAATACAGACGTCTTTTAAAACTATTTGCTTGAAATACTTACTTGAATACGCTGAAAATATAAGAGCGATATGTCGGTGATCCGACTGCACAACTTGAGGCGAGTACAGAGCGCCCACGATCAAACCAATCGCGATCACGGAGATTATCTGGAAATAAATTATTTTGTTAAATTGATCCTTACTCTTTGCCAAAATAAGCTTTTGTATTGTTATCCACTTAAAAGTATTTGAAGTTGTATAGAGCATGGAAATTGTTAATTGCAATGTAGCTAATTGTTTTTTGTTTTAATGATCGGGTAACAACGGTTTCTTACGAGATAGAGCCTCGCTGCAGCTATATTATGATTGTAGCACGAATGGGTCGGCTCGACCGGGGAAGGACCACGTTCTCACAGAATAAGCGTAAAATAGCAGCTTAATGCTGCTGTGTTTCGTATGGTGAAATTAGAGAATCGGAGACCCTGTTTACTGGAAACGAGGCATTCCGTCCGCGTCCTTTGGGGTGGCAACGCATATGCATTTTGATTCTAAATCGAGGATAGATCACTACCCACCCACTTACCATCAGATGGACTATGTGCTCGTTTATTACCAATAATCCAAAAAAAAAAAGAAACAATGAACAGATGTACGTGTATTTTCTTCGCTAATGGAGGTTATCGATTTCACTGTATGTAGGTATATTTCTTTCGTGGTTTGTTTATTGAAATAACCGAATTTTTAGGACTCGGTTTATTCTTTTTTTTACAAATGATTCAATGGGGGTAGTAGGATCCCGTCGGATTATACATATCAGTTAATATACTTTTTACTAGCTGTCGAAATGAAAAAACAACCTAATGGCATTTCAAATTATGAGTACCCAACGCATTCTCTTAATGTTTTACCATTGTAATAAGACATCTGCTGAGGCCGCGATTATTCCATTCTTTCGATCAATTGAGGACAAACTAACGTTATAATAATATGGCATGGTTCTAATCCAGTTATAGTCGTTATAATATGGCCTACTGTAGCGTATATAGAATAATAAATTTGTTGTGTCGTTATAATATTAGCGCGTGTAAATATGGATACAATAGGTAATGCCACAGAATAAATAATAGTACTACGTAGTAATGCGTAAAAATCGTGACTAAATTGAGTATAATTATAACGTTGTTTATTATCAACACAACACGCTTCTAAAAAACTATTTAACAATCAGTTAAGTCATCCTACAAGTAGATACTGGCAATAAATAACAATAAGAAAAAAATATAATTAACGTTTTTGTTCAGTTACACTGGCCATTGATAATTTGCAAAAAATGCGATACGACTGACTACGTCGCTTTTGAATAGGCAAGGAAATTTAAAAAAAAATAGTTTTTGAAGCGGTTTCGAACGGTGTACGTGAGTGATTGACAAGCAATCAACATTTTAGCGACCAGTGCAGCAAATATTTGAGAGAAAGTCATCATTTGTCAGTTATCAATACACCGAGCGACACAAAAGCCAGCAGAGTGAAAATGTAGCGGTTCTAATTAAGGAATGGAAAAATAACAGGAATATAATATATAAATGTACACATGTACATGAAAAATGCACAGTTGGGTGCATTTTCAAGGTTATAGTTGGCACATGTCCATTCTCATGGCTTCAATGATACGCTGACAGTTAACTCGATGCAAAGCCTTGTTTTAGACATTTCCAGAAATACGAGTATAGAATCCAATCATAACGGAATCAAATAATTTGATATAAGTTAGATTTAGAATCTTGTTTTAACGTAAACTATCTGAAACAAAAATAAGGAAAGTCGGAGTTAAAGCGCTTATTCAAACCTTTATTTAAAAAAATATTGCGTTACCTCTTTACTTTAAAAAAATATTACGTTAGCAGTAAGTTTAATTTAATAAAAAATCTCTAAGAAAACGAATTTAGAATCAGTATATGGAATCTATAAAATAGATATTGAATAATTAAATTAAACATCAAAAGGTTAACAAAAATAAACTAACCATTTCAATAACTCTCAACCCCAGGCACCAGTTTCGTTTGAGAGCCGCTGCGGCCCGGCTGTCCCTCTCATTGTTTGCGCCTTCTTCACCTTTCTTGGCTTGCGCCTCAGATTCCCTGTCGCCTGCCGACATGGCCCACACCACGCGCGCTCCGCCTCCGTACTCTGACACCTAGAAATCAACAAAATCAATATTTGGTCGTGAGTTCATGCTGGAGCGAAGTGCCCATAGAATACTATAATTCACAATAGAATGGCTGTCAACGCTATTTTGTACGAGGCTTGGCGTCGCCAAACCCGACTCGCTGTGTTGACAGACTTAATAAATTTTAGACTTTTTAGACTTTTGATTAATGTTCATCATCATTAAAAATCATCATTAAATAAATCGTTTAAATTTTAATACATATTTATTTGTAAATAGGGTGCAATTTGGCAATTTCTAAATAATTTGCATGCGAAATTTGGAAACAGTTGTAACGTCAAAACACATTTCAAATTGACATTTATACGTGTCAATTGACGTGTTAGTGACATTTTAGTGGGTACGCGGGCTCCGCCCACTCCCCCGTTCTATTATGTATGTATTATAGTATTCTATGGAAGTGCCCTTCGTATATTTTAAAGTCCGTCTGTCTTATTACAAAAAGTGGTTTATTGATAGCCTCGGGTTTTTTTTTTGATTTCTCAGACATGCTGGTTTCCTCACGATGTTTTCCTTCACCGCCGAGTACGTGGTAAATCAGCACTTAAAATTGCAATTAACAATTTCATTGGTGCCAGCGGGGATCGAACCTGGGTTGCTCGAGTACTGTGAAATTTATAGCGAGCGTTAAGCCCTTATACTACCACGGGAAGATATGGGGTAGTGGATATACTTACACTGTCACTCTCCCCGGCTACGACTCTCTTAAAAGTGAAGTTATTTACTTTGTACATTCCTTTTTTTAAAAGGTAAACTTGACGGCGTCCATAGTGATCATACCTTAGTAAAAGAATTTCGCAGTTCCATCATACGATGGAATATTTACCGCAAATTCACTGGATTCAAAACATAGTGACTAGGAACTGATAAGATTTCTGATTTAACATATTAGTGCTAGCATTATATGGTTAAAGTCAGCACGTGAATAAGTTGTGTGTATGTTTGTTCGATAAAGGCCGAATAAATGTAGCCTTACCATCAAATTCCGGACACATACCAAACTTGCCCCAGCATAAGTAGACAGCCGATAGAAACGAACAGTCGATTTTCATCATTCGCATTTTTGCGATCGATATTGTAAACAAAACTAAAGAAATAATAATTAATAAAAAAATACTACATATTTATATGGTATTAATATCGGCCAATTCATGCCAAGTATGCTTATAGTATAGCATTTAAACGATGATTGTAAAACAGATTAGTATCTATGATACTAAAATCTTGTATGTTTACGAGGTAGAGTCATGCGACTCTACCGAAAATATACAAACTCTCACAGAATACCTGCGTAAAATGGCAGTTGTATATCGTAAGGTGATTGTAGAGAACCGGAGTCCCTTTTCACTGCAAATGGGGCATTTCACTTTAGTGCTCAATAGGACAATTGTAGATATCTATAAGCCACAGCATGCACTTACCATCAAGTGGACTGTGCGCTCAGTTGTCTTTAAAAAACAAAAGTTTGGTTTATAAAAATACTTAAGGAATTAAGTTGCTTCAATAAGTGACATATTGAAGGAACTTAATTTCCTTTAGTGTGTGTAATAGGTGTATATAGTGGATAACAAGTAGGTTTTGCTCTATTGATAAGTTAAAGTATACTTTTGAAAAACCGGTTTCGTTATAGCTCGATCTCTTAGCACGTAATTACGTTTAACTACTTCCCGCAGATTATAGAGGAACCGCTACTTTTATACTTCAAACAGACAGATAAACTGGTGTAAAAGTTTTCTCGTTAATTGCTTTGAGTACTGGCACATAAATATTTATTTTTAGCTGCCTTAAAAACGAAGGTGTATCTCAATTCGATTGTATATTTTCTTTTTTTTATATAATAGGATGTCAAACGAGCACACAGTCCACGTGATGGTAAGTGGATGCTGTGGCCCATAGACATCTACATTTATCCTCGATTAAGAATCAAAATGCAGATGCGTTGTCACCTGTGAGTGAATGCCTCGTTTCCAGTAAAAAGCGTCTCCATCTCAGAATTCAGGGCTGGAAACGCGTCTGCACTTTGATTCTTAATTGAGGATAAACGTAGATGTCTATGGGTCACAGCGTCCACTTACCATCAGACGGACTGTGTGCTCATTTACCATCTTCTTCTATAATATAAAATAAATGAGTAGTTTCATGAATTAAAAGTTAATTTATAACGTAGAAGCTAACAAAAAATAATACGCGTATTTTTTTTCCACCGTCGTGTCGGTCACTCTTGAATCTGAAATTAATAATTTCATTGGCGCCGGCGGGGGCACGGTAATTTTATCTATACAGTATTCCAACTTCATACAAACGGACGAAGCGAGAGCTATGCCTACGCGCCTCGATCTCGGCATGCGCTCGGCATGCAGACAGTCGTGAGTGCCACAGTGATGATTTTGTGGAATATATATAAAAATGGAGGAAATAAATAATAGACTAAAAATAAAGAAATAATAAATGCGAACTTCATTTAAAACCAAACATATAAATTATAAAATATCTTTTACTTGGTTATAGATACCTCTTTATCCAAGTAAAAGATATTACTTTTCTCCACCTTGTCCATGTTTCCCAAAATAATTTTTAATTAAGCTTTATATTATAATGCGGATTTTTTATACTTAAAAATTTAATAATAAAGTAATTCGTACGTCTCAGCCGAGGCGCAAATATTTTTCGGTCGCAAATTCATAAGACCGATTTGTTATTCATACATAAACATGGTTTTTTAATTAAATCTACCAATCAAAAAACGATACGCATTTTTATTGAACACTTCCTATTGAATTTTCAAAGTACCTATTATATTTGATTATGTAAAAAAAGTATATTTACAATCATAAAACTAGATGGAAACACAAAGTAGGTAAATGTAATCCTGAAGGCAGACAGCCCTATTGCATGTTTACGTACCGCGCTGCTGTAGGCATTTATTTCAAAGATACGGCCGAGTTACAATACTGTATAGATAATATTACCGTGGCGGGGATCAGTCCCGGATTACTATATCTTTGAATAGCAGCAAGCTCTTAGCCCTGAGCTTCGGCTCTTGCAAACGATAAATGCCAGTATATTTATTAAAAATAATAGACTGGAGTAGTGGAGCAGTATTACTAGTGTACTGCATTGCCCTCACTAATCTGTCTGGCCATAATTGTGAGTTAAAATATACTGGATGACTTTATTTACCGTGTGGAACAAAATAGATCGTGTTCTTTGCCATAAAACTACTTTATTCATTTTATTTTACTTTTAAAGACAAATAAAATTATAAATCAATTCATTGCAGCCGTAAGTTAATAATAGTTAGTTACATAATAAGTACTGAACAATACCTAATAAGTGTTGTAAGTACATAACCGGTGAGGTAACGTTATGCGGATTTTCACTCATATTTTATTAATAAGCTCGAATACAATAATTAAATGCGCAAATCAATTTCGAAATAAATCAAAGCAGAGAACGCGTGATTTTAACGAAAGACGATGGTAGCCCGTTTCGAATAAATCAACAAAACGCGTGCCAACCGCTGGCACGGAACACACGCATGTCCACTTTCCAATAATGCGGATTGTTCGCGCACAAAAACACGCTCCGCCTGCTCTTTTGTTAATTGTACTTAAAAATGTCACTGGGAAGTTATAATTATACTGTAAAAAAGTCAACTAACAGTTCAATGCATTCCACTATTAGGGGAAGCTTTCCATTCCTTATGAAAGGGTAAGGCACAGATCAGCTTTACAAAAGAGCTGACAAGACTGCGCATGCTAAAATATATTTTCTTTTAGACGTATAAGTTTCCACTTGTGAAAAATAACGTATGCAATTCCTTCATGTGACGTTGTATTCTCGAGTCTTATTGTATTTTTGTTATATTTTGTCATATTTACCGTATTAAGTACGAGAAAATCCGAATCTGTGCATTTTCTACTGTATTTTAGTAGAATTGTGGCATATTAATTACTATATTTAAAATAATAAATGTAAAGTATTAAATTAGACAATCTCTACCAGCGTGGAGAACGCTGAGTCATATAGTTGGAATACTGTCGATATTTTTATTTTAAATTAACATGTTGTACAACTGATTTCAAAATAAATAAAATAATTTATTGTTGATTTTTCAAAAACCGCTCGACCAATTTCGATAATATTTAAATGGGACCACCCTTTGAAACAAAAAAAAAAAGAATTTTCCAAATCGGTTCAGGCGTCTTCGAGTAATCGGTGAACATATATAAAAAAAGATTCTGACGAATTGAGCACCTCCTCCTTTTTTGTAGTCTGTTGAAAATTGTATTTATTTCTCTAAGCTTTGGAGTATAACTATTAACTTTTATATACAATTAATGATGACAAAAACTATACAGCTAGATATAGACTATACAGCTCACTTGGTGCTGATAGGCACCTATACGGGTACCTGTCCTCGATTAAGATTAAAAATGCAGATGATTTTTCATAAATGAGACATGAGATAGAATGCCTTAGAAAAGGAAAAACAACAAGACCCCGTGCAAATAGGTTAGGTGGAAACTAAAAATACGATTGATTTTGTGATTAAAAAAGCTAATAATCGTGGAAAATAAATATTTTCTCGCTCTTCTGTATTTTTTTTAAATTGAGGTTTGCCTCTTTGCGGCTTCAGCGACGAATTGTTCGGGTTCTAGATTTTACCATGTTAAATTTAGGTAACAAAACTACCTTCACGATACGATGGAAAATCCTACTATGGTATAAAATTTGTCAATATTGTAAATTATGTGTCCAATTCCATCGAAATAAGCAAATTAATTTAACTTTTTACGAGCTTGTCTGTTACGTTTAGGAAGTTTGAAGTTACCCCGACCACCTGATGGTAGGTTGATGCTTGGTTAATTTAGGGTTCAAGACGACTACATGCAATCTACTCAAGACATAGAGAGCCGCTTTGCGTTTTATATCTTGCTTGCGTAGATATCAATATTAACCCTAAATAAAGTGGAAAATCTCTAAAATTTGGTCTACTTTCTAGTCACTCGCCGTGCGAAATGACCACACACAGTCCAATTGATAGTAAATTGATGCTATGACTATGTTGTCATCCACTAAGATGGAATACGAGTATACCTCGTTTCCAGTTAAAAGAGTCTCCGATGCTCTACACTCACCATACGAAACACAGCAGCGTTAAGCTGCTATTTTACGCTGGGATTCTGTGAGAGCGTGGTCCTGCTCTCATCGAGCCGACCCATTTCTGCTACAACGATAATATAGATGCAGCGTGGCTCTACTACGTATAATAAAGTATATGTTAATAGTTAAAAGTTGTTGCTGTTGTAATAATGGTATAGGAAATCGATATTTTGTATCAAAGCTTTTAAATGTTCAGTTATAACAACATTTTGCATTTCTAAGACCACAGAGTTTCTCGTCATCATCATCATCATCATCATAGCCCTTCACAAGTCCACTGCTGAACATAGGCCTCCCCCAAGTAATGCCACAAAGCACGGTCCTGAGCCACCTGCATCCATCGACTTCCTGCATATCTTACCAGGTCGTCACTCCATCTAGTGGGGGGTCGCCCTACACTACGCCTACCGGTACGAGGCTGCCACTCGAGAACCTTTCTTCCCCATCGGTTATCGGTTCTTCGAGCTATATGGCCGGCCCATTGCCACTTCACTTGAGTTTCTCGTAAAAACGCAAAAAAAATTTTAAATCGTTGCGCTTTTTATAATGCCTTGAAATATAAAAAATAAACAAACAAAATTGTCAACTAGCAATATATAATATTGTTTAATTATTTTGCATACACAATGCAATCACATTTGAAA